GTATGCATTTGTGCAACCCTCACCACAATTTCATTTAAGAATTCTTCTCTACTTTGAGAAGTTCCCTCATAGCCTCTGCAATCCCTCTCCCAACCTCCAGCCCCACGCAACCTCCAACCTGCTTTATCTCCTCAGTTTTGTCTTTTCTAGAAATGTCATGTATATGGAATCATATAATAGGTGATCTTTCGCGTCTAGCTCCTGTCTGATTAACATGATCTTCTTGAGATTTATCCCTGTTGTTCCATGTATCAGTAGGCTCATTGATTTGTATTTTTTAAAGGATTTTATTTATTTGAGAGAGAGAGAGAGAGAAAGTAAGAGAGAACATGAGAGGGGAGAAGGTCAGAGGGAGAAGCAGACTCCCCATGGAGCTGGGAGCCTGATGTGGGACTCGATCCCGGGACTCCCTGTCACCCAACCAACTGAGCCACCAGGTGTCCCTCATTTATTTGTACTGATTAGTATCCCATTTTATGGATAGCACATTTTGTTTTCCCATCCAATTTATGTGGGAGTAGACTCACTGGATCAGATGGCAAGTGTATGTTTAACCTTTACACAAATTGCCAAAATGCTCCCAAGTGAATATGCCATTTTCCGTTCCAACCAACGCTGTATGAGATTTCCAGTTTCTCCACATCCTTGCCAACACTTCGGCACTATCTTCCTAATTTCAGCCGTTCTTGTGGGTGGATAGTGACATCTTACTGTTGTCTTATTCTGCCTTTTCCTAGATGAATCTTACCGAGCCTCTTTTCGCGTGATCACTTGCCATTTGTGTATCCTCACAGGTAAATTGTCTATTCACATTTTTTTCTCATTCTAAATTGAGTTTTTATCTTCTCACTATTGAGTTGTAGAAGTTCTTTGTATATTTTGGTTAAAAACCTTTGCTAGATAATTCCTTTGCAAATATTTGCTTCCAATCTGTTGCTTGCCTTTTTGTTTGGTTAATAGTGTTTCTGAAGAGCAGAAATTTATGTTTGATGACATCTAATTTACTCATTTTTCTTCTTTTTAATGTCTGTAGCTTTTGTATTGTATCTAAGAAAATTTCTCTTAACCCAAGGAGATTTTCTACTCTTTTTCTGGAGTTTTATGGTTTTAGTTCATAGGCTGAAGTTTATGACCCATTTTGACATAATTTTTTTGTTAGGAGTGAATTAAGGGTCAATGATCATTATTTTGTATGTGGATATCCAATTGTTCAAGCACTATTTGTGGAAGAACTATCCTTTCCTTATTACCTTGGTACCCTTGGTTAAAAGAAAAAAGTCAACTGACCACATAGATGAGGGCTGACTTCTGGACTTTTTCTTCTGCATCAGTGATCCACGCATCTATCCTTATGTTAATACCACATGCTCTGGTGTACAGTAGCTTTTGAAATAAGGAAGGGTGAAGTCCTCCAATTTTATTCTTTTTCTATACTGTTTAGGCTATTCTAGATCCTCTGCATTTACATGTTAGGATCAGTCTGTCAACGTCTATCAAAGAAAAGAGGTCTTGACAGAGATTCCATCAGATCTATAGATTAATTTGGGGAGAACTGCCAATATTGGGTCCTCTCATCCAGGAATACAGTATATGTTGCATTAACTGGTTTCTCTTATTTTTCTCAAAAACATCTTGTAATTTTCAGTGTATAGCTTTCACAGTTCCTATGTTAAATTTATTCTTAAATATTATATTCTTTTAGATGTTACTGTAAATGAAATTAATCAAATCTTATTTTCGGATTTCCATTTCTAGTATGTAGACATGGAATTGATTTTTGCATATTGACCTTATATCCTGCAACTCTGCTATACAAATATCCTTGCAGCTTTTTAAGGGAAATACAGATTACTTAGGATTTTCCATGTACAAAGTCACCTTATCTGTGAATTGTCTGTGAATGCAAGTAGTCTCATTTCTTCCAATTCTTACACCTTTAATTTTTTGTTCTTGCCTTATGGTCCTTGACATTTTTAAAGAAGATTTTATTTATTTGAGAGACAGAGAGAGAGAGAGAGCAGGAGTAGGTGAAGCAAGAGCAGGGAGCCAGACTTGGGGCTCCCTCCTAGGACCCTGAGATCATGACCTGAACCTAAAGCAGATGCTTAACCAACTGAGCCACTCAGGCATTCTGGTCCTTGACTTTTATTTGGATTATCAGCAAACGTCACTTTAGCTCACTGTACAATGATACTCTTATATCCCTTTCATAAATGCTGAAATCATCCAATAAATTGATTTTTTTTTTTAATTGATGGTTTTTAACCAGCGTATGTCACTGCCTACCAGTCAGAACTTCCATTTCAGCAGCACTGTTATCCTTGTTTATAGTGTCTGGGGGCGCCTGTGTGGCTCAGTCAGTTAAGCGTCTGCCTTTGGCTCAGGTCATGATCCCGGGGTCCTGGGATCAAGCCCTGCATCGGGCTCCCTGCTCAGCAGGAGCCTGCTTCTCTCTCTCCCTCTGCCTCGCACCCCCCATTTGTTCTCTCTCTTTCTCGCTGTATTCTCTTTCTTTCACATAAATAAATACAATCTTTAAAAAAAAATAGTGTTTTGGATAGTTATTTTAAAAATTCGACATACATTTTATACTCCTCATTTAGAAACGAAGAAATAGAAAGCAGGAGAAAGCGCCGCCATCAGTAATAAGTAGGAGTCTCATAAACTTAACAACAACTGAGACGACGGTGAACATCTTTACGCACGCTGGAAGTGGCAATTCTTTAGCCTGTTACGTGCTCACTGGACTTAATAAGCTGGTCAGCCATGAGAAAGAGTAAAATTAAAGAACATAACATGGCATAGTGAAAATATAACATCAAAAGACCGTATCCAAGATGCAAGGTATAATTAGTGATTTTTAAATATATTTTAGTTCTTTGGGAACTTAACTGCCTTTCTGATAGGTACCACAGCTCAATTCTGAGGAACACCTTGGGTCTCATCAAAGTGTGGGGATATATCAGGACTTTGTTTAATCTTGCACAACTTCTGAGGAAGATAAAATGATTCCCATTTAGAAATCAGAAAATACAGAAATTAAGTAACTTGCTAAAGCTGTATAGTCAGCAGTGGAGACAAGATTCAAAGTCAGGTCTGTTTGGTTCCAGAAGCTCTAAATTGGGCCCCTCTCGTCTGGCACTACCCATTGCCCTGATGGATACCCTGAAGCCCCAACCTTCCACGCCTGCTCGGGAAGCCCTCAGTTCCATGCAGGTATGGTTCTAACCGTCTCACCAGTGACTCACAGCAACTGTGTAACAACGGGAGAATTTATCTTCCTGGTTTGCTCTCTCCCAAAATACCAGCCCAAAGGCTGGAACACTGTAATAAAAAGATCTGAGGTGGTTACATAAATAAGATCCATGTGCAAAAATGTAGAAAGCTTGGTTTGAAATGGATGGGCGATTACCCTTTGAGTTTGGGGGCAGAGATGCCCAGGAAGTTTGACTAAGAAAGGCTATGAGAGTTTTTCAGTGAAGTAAACTCGGGCTTTTCTTCTCTGCTTTCATTTTTGGGCAGACACATTAGAAAATGAATGCATTCCTAAGCAGAAAAGTGACCACAAAACCATTTCATTGTGGAGGGGTGATAGAGCACAGCCTTCTCTGTCCTACACCCCGCAGAAAAATTCTAACCCTTGGACACAGAGGATTCAGGCTCAAGTCTTGATAACTCGGGGTTTGCAAAGTCAGAAAAGAGGAAGAGGACACAGAAAAGAAAATGGAAACTATTAAAAGCCCTTCTCATTGGGCCTTAAGTAAACACTCCCTCGCTATTTTGGATTTTGGGGTCAATTAGGAAACATTTCAATCAGTTTTTTTTTTCAAGAAACAAATACAGGGGCACCTGGGTGGCTCAGTGGGTTAAAGCCTCTGCCTTCAGCTCAGGTCATGATCCCAGGGTCCTGTGATCGAGCCCCGCATCGGGCTCTCTGCTCGGCAGGGAGCCTGCTTCCTCCTCTGTCTCTCTCTCTCTTTGCCTGCCTCTCTGTCTACTTGTGATCTCTGTCAAATAAATAAAATCTTAAAAAAAAAAAAGAAAGAAACAAATACAGATTGTAGCTCCTCTACACTCTGGGCAAGCAACAAAACCAGAAGCAAGCACCTCGGTTCCCCCATGTGCCTGCCGAATAAACCCTCTGAAGCCGCCCCGTAGGACCCTGCCTTCCGATCAGCAGACCTTTGGAAGACAAGTTTTCTTCACAAACCCCTTATTTTAGGTCAGACTGATCTGTTTTTTTATCAATCCTGCTACCCCAGTAAAACACGTCTTTTCCAGTCCTTACAGTGTTTAGACATGAACAGCAAGGCTTTGGAAAATCTCTGTAGTTAGCAAAATAGTGGAAACGACCTACATGGTTGAGGGACAAGGCGGCTGGCCGTCACAATAGGGGTCAGCACTTCCATCCGGGTCCTCAGCCTGCTGCCTACTTCTGTAAACAAGGGGTCGCTGGGACACAGCCGTGCCCATTCATTTATGTCTTGTCTGTGGCTGCTTTCTTGCTACAAAAGGCAGAGTTGCGTGCTTACCACTGAGGCATTCTGGCCTGCAAAGCCTAAAATATTGACTATCTGGTTCTTTACAGAGAAAGTTCGTCAATTCCTGTGACTATACATTTAAAATAACATGGAAAAATACTCCTGTTAGGTTGTCAAGTAAAAAAAAAAAGTTTTTTTAGAAGGATGACATAGTAGTTTACATGTGGTATCACCAGAATTATGTAAAACAAGGGGAAATGGGCAGAGAAGAGATAAAAAGGGCCAAGCAGGTGGATTTGGTGGCAGCATCCCGGGTGACTTTCCTTATGCTCATCTCTGTGTTCCAGTTTTCTAACATGACCTCTCATTTCTTTCATCATAGAAAAAAGTCGGAAACGTGCCCGCAACCTCTAGTCCCAACTTGCCCCCAGCGGGCGTGACCACCCGGAGCTCAGTCTCCCCGCCAGGCCCGATCCCCACAGGGGTGCCTCGGGGTGGGGGCAGGAAGACGGCAGGTACCTTATGCTCGTCCCGAAGGTGGCTGTCCAGTTCCTCCGTGTGCTTGGTCTCATAGTAGCAGAGCTGGCATTTGTAAGGTTTTAGTTCATTGTGCTTTTCTATGTGTTGCTGGAGGCTCTCATCACTGGAGCAGGTGAAGGTGCACTTATCACAGCGGAAAACTACTCCCTGCAAGTATTTGGACAGTTTGGAACGGCACACTTCGATGGGGACAACTCGCTCTTCTGTGGAAACAAATTGAATGGAAAGATGGAAGTTTTTACTGATGGTCCACACACGCTCTGTCTTTGGAATAAAGGAAGAAACTCAACCGGTTTTGCTACCTCTCATGGGTGTCCGTGAACTCATGTGCACACTGCCTCTCCCTCCGTTCCCCAAACAGCATCTTCTGGTCCAGGTAAGTGTTTCTAAGACCAAAGCCTCTTGGTGTACTTAATCCCCAGAGTGATCTTTATACCGAGGTGGGAGGCTGGGAGGTGCTCGCTAATTCCTGAATGCAGGTGGCTAACGGAGGGGATGAGACTGGCTGCCATGGTTTACCCACCTCGACGACTACTGACAGCCCGCCTGAGCACTTCCTTAGTATGTGCTAGTTGAGCTGGACCCAGAGATGCCCCTAAGCAGAAGGGGAACGGATGGTTCCTAAGCACCTGTGTGCCCCAGTGGTGCACCTTTCTGGAAACTCTCTTAGGCTGGAGGTATTCCTGTTTTTACAAATCAGTAAAGCAAAGGATGGGACGCTTAGTAACTTTCCAAAGATCACAGATGTTGTATTCGCCCAGCTGTGATCTCCATCCCCGCCTGTCGAAAAGCAAACCCTTTACGTCCCACTGTTTCCAGTTCCACTCCTGTTTCCCCTTCGGAGATGTTCTCAAGGAGACCGTTTTCCTTCTCCTGAAACCAAGGGAATCTCTAATAACAAATTTTAAAAACAAAGGACCTGTAGGTTTTCATTCACTAAAACTCCAGCTCTAACTCGGAGAAGCTCACAAATGAAACGGCTATGGGAAACATTCAGGGTGTGGGGGGGCCGTTGCGGGTGGTGAGGGAGATAGGGAGGATTTGTGCCTTTTCAGACAATCTGTAATCTGATTGTCACAAGGGAAAAAATAAAAGAGAGAGAGGATTTGGGTGCTTTTCCCATTAACATACCAAATGCTGTAGGGCTGGAAATGCGTGTGCTTGTTTATTTTGCACTCTCTCACCCTTGTGTTTAACTGCTCAAATTAAATTTCACACCAGTCTGCCCAGAGTATCAGTGCACGCGCCAGATATCCATAACTGGGATAAAATTAAAATCTGTGCTATTTATGCAAGGATCAAATATAGCGTGTGTTTTCATGCTGTGTCTGGATTTCAGAAGACTCTGGAAGTTTACAAATGGACGCACACAACATATACTTATATTATTTAGAAATAGCAATGTATTATTAAGTCAAGAAAGCGTGATTTATTCTCAGAGTCACTGAGTAGCAACATCTCCAGACATTAGTACTTTGTGCACTGATGCAGCTCTCCCTGTGAGCCCTCCCATTGTTGTTGGCCGGGGTTGGCCCTTGGGGAATCCTCCCCACCCAAAGCCACGCTGTGGGCTCAGCGACCACATTCTCACTGCAGGGCAGTCCCTGCCTTGGGAGTCCTTGAATACGGCGATTAACTGGCTAGCAAAAAGTTGGCCAGAGGAAGCGTGGAAGGTGGTGTCTGCTACATATTCCCCAGAGCTCTAATGCATATGTTAGTTTCCCTATACAAAGAGTCAGTCGCTTACTTAGCAATATAAATATTTTTAAACCAAAGTAGAGCAGACAGCTAAGAAACACATGATTATAATGTAATCCACACATTTTCTTAGAATAGCAAATGTTTAACAGTCTTCTAACCATTCAGTTCTATGGTTCGGTGTAATCGGGGGAAAAAATGCTTTGGCATAAGCCAGCCGGAGCCCTGAGAAAGCCCAGGCCATGATGTTCTACTCGTGGGGCCCGGGGCTTCTCAACAGTAGCTCTTCTGACATTCTTGAGGCCAGAAAAGGCTTTACTCCGGGGGCTGTACTCTGCACTGCGGGATGTTCACTAGGGTCCCCGGCCTCCACTGACCTGCCCTGGCACCCCTCTTCCCAGGGGTGACAACCAAAAATGCCTCCAGACAAAGGCACCCTGACTCCGGCTGATGACCACTCCTCGACACCAAGTGTCAGCATTATCTCCAGCCGTTCTGGCTAAGGCACGGGTGCAAGCCGGCGCCCAAGCACGAGATGGGTACAGGCTGAACCCCTGGGACCGGGCCCAATGCCTCAGGGGCTCACGGGCAGTGCTCCCACGAACTTTTCTGCCGCCTTGACACTGCAACCCCCTTTGCTCTGTGTTGGCTCCCACTCTGGGTTGTGTCATTTCTGCTGCGTGCACTCTGTCTCCAGCCCTGCCGACCACCGTGGAGAAGGACCACAGCTGGTCTAACAGCCCCCATAATGATGCCTCCAGCACCCTGGAGACAGCCATGCGGCCAGCCTCCAGTCTTCGCTTCTCCCCGTAAAGAATCGCTGCTTTCAGACTGGGGTTTTACAGGCCTCCCTTTCAACTCCTCTACCACCTTAGTTAGTTTTCTTTGCAGTTTCCCATTTCACTACGTAGGTCTAAGTGAATCTTAACAAAGTCATGAGCACTCAAAATAGCCTGGAGTTTAAATAATAATGATTCATGGAAGTGACCATGGCGATTTACCAGGAGCTCACTCTGTTTCAAGCACTGTTAGGCATTCTACCCTCATGGTTAAATTTTTATTCTCGAAAGACTCTGCAAAGTCAGTTTTATTACCTTTAGTTTATTGGTGTGGAAGCTGAGGACTGGCTTGCCGCACGCCTTCCTCAAAGTCACGCCTCTGGTTCAGAACAAAGTTGTGACCTGGGAGCCCAGGTCTCCTGGCTGACCTGTGCCAGCGCACTCCTCTCCTTCACCCCCAGAAAAGAAGTCTCTTGGATCATTAGATCCGCATGCCGTTTATTGATGAGCCTCTGATTCCTCATTGATTAAGAGTTCAAGAGCTACAGACATATCTAAGGCAACCATTTCTAGCTGAACTTCTTTCGAGTATCTTCTGAATCAGGTAAGAGGCAACTTCCTGCTTGCTCACTCACTCTGAAACATCAGACTTCTCATTTCCAAACGAAGACATCCCCAACATTCCAAGTCTCTGGGCTACGTGGATTTTTACTAAGATATTCATTTTAGGGGAAAAAAAGTTAATTTTTCTTCCTGAAAACACGGCTAACACGACCAAGATAAAAAACAAGACAGACTTGGAAAAGTGGGCAAATCACTGACAGTGCTTTCTGAATGAGGTTATTCATTACTGAGGCAAGTCAGGGACATAAAGTTAGAGACTGGAATGTTTCTAGGTGTGGATGGAGCCCTGTCTTGGCTACAGAAGCCCAGGGCTCAGGTTGTTTTTTTTTTTTTTTTTCTTTTCTATGGAGGCAGCAACAACTGTGGGTCTTTCTTGACTTCACACCTCTCAAAATTACCTTGGGTAAGAAACCAAGGCTTGAATCACACTCCTTGTGACTCAGCTTCCAGAGCTGGCTGCAAAAATATTATGACTTCACCAGTTTGACTACAAGATAGATTGTGTCTCTCATCTCTTCCTACTCAAAGGCTGCTTTGGTGCTGCAGCTGGACACGACGCCCAGGAGGAATGCCCCACGGAAGCCTGTGGGAACCCAAGCGCAACAGAGCCTAGAAGGGTGTGCTGTCAAGCTCCCGTGGAGCTCAGTGGAAAAATCGGCTGAATTCCAACTACCAGGAGGGCGGAGGGTCACTTCTGCTCAAAAGAGAAAAACCACATCACTGTGGAGTCTAGAGTCACCAAGTAAAAATTCTTCCTGAAAGGCAGACCACAGCACACTTGGGTTTCCTCCCCACAATGTGCCAAGTCTGAACGAAGCAGGGAGAGATCTGGAAGTCATTCACGCCAACAAACTCCGTATGCAAATGATCCTGCTCCGGGGCTGAGACCCTCTTCGGGCCAAACCAAAGCCCCACCTATTACTCTAGGCCAAATAAGTGACAAAAGCTGAGTACTAGAAAGCCATTAGGAAAAGAACAATAGTTCCTAAAAAACAATGATTCCAAAACATGACCATAAATGGACACACACAAACATAAGGACAACAGCTCCTGGTAAGAAGTTACTAATTCTGATGTTAGCCAGGCTACCACTGTCAAATCAGAGAAAGCCAGGAACCACACCTCTCATTCTAACTGGCAAAAGTATTTGGTGGGGATGGAAGGGAAAAGTGTAATTTCATGGAATAAAATGAAAGACTGGCAATCTCACTGTAGCTTTTTTTTTTTTTTTCTTAGGAAAAACGATACAGATCAGGTAAATTAAGGGAGATTAGTTTTGTTCCCAAAAGGCGCCCACCTGCAGGGTTCAGTTAAATTCAGTATTTGCCCATATATGGGGTTACGGGCTGGGGAGCAGAAACTTTAAATTAATATGCCAACTGGAGACCGGCATCGGGGATTACACAGCTCCAGAAATAGAAATAAAAATATCTGGCAAAACTGTAATTCAATCTGTACCCAATTTTCCAGGTGCACCAAAGGTGTGCAAGATACATCCAGGCAAAGCTGTCTGTGCACAAGGCATCGTGATTCCAGTGATGGTGATAAACTCAGTGGAAATGTACTCATGAAAATATTCCCTATTCATGGTCTCTCTTCCCATTAAAGTTCATGTTCCTTCAGTGCACAGACTGCCTGACTCTTCATGGCTGTGTCCCTAGGGATTAAAACAATGCTACTAGCATTATAGTGAATGTTCAATAAATATTTGTTGCATTGAATGAAAACCCACCAAAAGCCCTACCTCCAACCTTTTCCTTTAAACAAAAATCTTAGGGCTTAATTTTTTCCTTTTTAAGCTGGTCCAATCATGGCCAATCTCACCAAATGTTGATCAGACCTAAGTTCCTGAAAGAAATGGGTCTACCAATCCTTGGCTTCAATCTTTCCTAAATTGGTATTCATCAGGTATCCTGGCTTCCCATCTTCCTACTGAATAAAGTTCAAATGCCTACCCTGGTATCCAAGCTCTACCTAAGTTGGCCAGAACACACTTTACCAGTCTCGTCCCCTACATTCCCTTCAGTCTCACTCAGAACACTCAAACACCACTATGTCAACACATCTTGCTCCCACCTACCTGAATGATCTAAAATTTTCCTCCCCACTCATGTAGTGGGTCCAATAGTGTCCCCCAGAAGCTTATGTGCACCTAGAACCTTGATATGAGACCTTACTAGGACATAAGGTCCTTACAGATGAACGTAACTAGTCAGGATGAGGTCATAGTAGTTTGGGTGGGCCCTAAATTCAATGAGTAGTGTTCTTAGAAGAAGAGGAGAGGATACACAGAAGACATGCAAAGGGAAGACGGCCATGCATGGACAGAGGCAGAGACCAGAATGACGCAGCTATAAGGCAATGACGGTGGGAGCCACCAGAAGTGAGGGAGGGCCACGGGAAGATTCTTGTTTAGAGCCTTCAGAGGGAGCCTGGCCCTGCTGTCACCTTGGTATCAGACTTCTAGGCCCCAGAGCAGTGACAGTACACTGTTGTTTTAAGCTACCTAGGAAACTAACATGCCCTGACTTCAAACTTTTTTGCCTTCTTAAACATCATTGTAGCTCAGTTTGAAAGTCACCCCTCTACACTACCTTTCTCTACTCCCAACACAAATACACCTGCTACCGTGAATCTCCTAAATACCCATCACTCACTACATCACGGAGACTTACGCACATGCTTCATCTCCTTGAGGAGGGAGGGTCCTGGGTCTTATGTACCTTATCTTGCCCAAGAAGCTAGCATAGTGCTGCACATAACAAGCAAGTAATGGGGGCACCTGGGTGGCTCAGTGGGTTAGGCCTCTGCCTTTGGCTCAGGTCATGATCCCAGGGTCCTGGGATCGAGCCCTGTATCCGGCTCTCTGCTCAGCAGGGAGCCTGCTTCCTCCTCCTCTTCCTCCTCTCTCTCTCTCTGCCTACTTGTGATCTCTGTCTGCCAAATAAATAAATAAATAAAATCTTTAAAAAAAAAACAAAACAAGCAAGTAATGAATGCTTGCTGAATGCATGGACACACAGTATGCTCTTTTGCCACAGCCCACATAAAACCATGATCATTTCTCATTCAGATTTCCCATGAATGAAATGAACTCCCCTCCCTTTCCTCCCTATTTAAATAGATCATTCTGTTGGGATAAAAAGCTAAGTAAACTCTTCTTGCAAGCAGTATCTCAGTCCCAGGCCAGCTCAGAAGTTGTTTTTCTTCCCTTTCATCCCAAGAATTTTAATGAACCCAGGCCTCAGAAAGCTCTCTTACTGCAGGCCCTAGAGACCAAAGATGCTTACTCATCCCCAGAGCAAGGAGAGCCCAGGTGCAGGAAGAGCCACCTCTTGTTACTTTGAGCTCAACCCCAACTTGAAATTGCAAGGCCTGTCTCCTGACTCGTCAAGACCAGCTTCCCACTAAGATGCCATTTTGGGTTGAGATGGACACCAAAGCCAGGCCAGGACACAGATGGCAGAAACGGCTGTCCTGAGACTCTCGGCCATCTGTGGTCCTGTGGTCCTCAACTCTGACCTCCAGCCCCACAGGCGGTTCCGTCCTCAGGCCCAGCTGCCACAGCCACGAGAATGCTCAACAGGGTGACACCAGCCACCCTCCCAGGGAAGAGACAGCGATGCCTGGTGGTTACAGGCATGGGCTGTGGGGCAGACAAGCCTGGGTTTGGATCCAACTGGGTCACTTTTTAGTCATTTGGATCTTGGGTCACACTCAGTCTCTCTGAACCTTTTACCCTTGTGATCGGCGGATAACAGTAATACCCACACCATATAGGGCTTTTAAGAATTCTATAAAATGACATATTGGACTCACTTAGTACAGCACCTGTCCTCGTCAACACTCAGTGACAGTAATCTGCTGTTGTTAATGTTGTCATTATTATTGCTGATCCTCAAACGCCCCTTCGTTCTAGATCGTGCACTTTCCGACCCTGATAAGGATGATATTTATAGATTTAGATGGCTCTTTTAACATAAATGACCTCTATAAATAAACAGCAGAGACTGTAAGGAACCACCGACGGGCAGTATGACGGAAAGGTCCCGGGCTCAGAGGCCCGGAGTTAACTCACTGCCCCGTGAGCCCTCAGGAGACCCTGGTTCAACCGGCCCGCTGTCACGGTCCCTGTACACCTTTCCCACTGTGTCCGCGGTGGGGATCATACGCACTGGGTCACACACGCTCCACTTTGGAGAAATTCCTCTCATGTTTTGGTGTCTAGGATTCCTGACTATCTCCTGAACACAACTTCCAGAGTCTAGCCAACACCCAAAATCCAACAGATTCCGTTTTCTTCTCCCCCGCGGGAGGCTGGGCTCTCTGAGCAGACCTGGAGACCGCGGCCGACAGGCGCATGACACCTCGCAGAGCTCACCAGACCCCAAACTGTCACTGAGCATCCTCGTACTGCCAGGGGACTTGTGACTGGTCTCTCCTCAGTCTGCATTTGCCTCAACTTCCCATTTGTTTTAATCCTATCGTTCTGCACAAGTATCTTTAAGAGACCTTAAATCCTTTGCGAGATGGCCACGAGTAACCACACTGAATCCAAGAAAAAGCAGTTTCTCTCAGTTTCACATTTCATGCACGCGACGCATGAACACAAGTAATAATACTAGCCCTTACGGTGCTGCTGGACAGGAGTGACTCGGTGTCAAGGGTAGCACTCCAGGGGCTTTTCTCAGCTTTAGCATTTACTCTCTGTGTACCCCCCTCCACACACACACACACACACACACACACACACACACACACACCCACACACACCCCCTTTCTTGAAACCGCAGCTCATTAGCCACTGAAGCTTGGAGCCCACCAGGCAGCAGCATGGGAAGCCAGGGGAACTGCCCACAGAAATGAGGTCTCATCATTTCTGTCTGCTCAGCAGGAACACTACTCATGGCCTCTCCCCACCACACGTGGGCTGGGGGACCAGAAGCCAGGTAACTGACGTGGCACCCTGGGTGGGACCACTCTGGCCAAGAATTCCTGCCTCCGTGTTCTGACGCTGCTTCTCTCATCCTGCAAGTGGACGTCTCAGCCAGCAGCGACGTCATGTCTCCTCATAGTGGCCTGGGCAGGAAGGAAATCTGAGGGCGCTAAACGGAGCCTTCCACGGGGTGTGCAGCAGAGATGGGCAAAATGTCACAAAATGCAATGGCCCAAGACAGTGGTGCTGGGGACATGCTGGACACTTTTGAAAATGCTCCAAAAATATCCAGCATGTCAGGGTGTGTGACATCTCAGCAGGACAGCAGAAGACACACTCACAGTTTCTGAGGCCCACGTGGCAAGCATGGAAAAGCCTCCTAAGGTTAGAGGCCAAGGAACAAAGAGGGGGACAAGGAGGGAGGGAAGGCACGAACAAAAGATGTAAGATCAGTGGATGGAAACCGCACAAGACACTAGCAACCAGGATTCTGGTCATCTTTTTCCATCTACCTCTGGCTTGAATCTTCTTTGGACAAAGTTTTTACATAAACATATTTTTCCTTCCAATGAAGAGGAAGCCTGTTGTTTAACAGTGTTGTAATTGGCCAAGAGTAAACTCAACTGAAAGGAAAACCAAAGACGACTTGAAAGAACCATCCCTGTTTATCAACAGGAAGCCGCACGTCCAGAACACCCAGTATGTATCCAACACGGAACGCACCAGACCCTCGGCGCATCATTTCGTAGGCCTGACTGTCCTCTCTTCTTAACAGATCAGAGAGCAGGCCAATACAGGAGGCTTTAAAACCAGAACTTAAATCCGAAGCCTCTGGGATTTCTAACATCAGACCCCTTTTATTTTTAAGACTTTTTCCTCTCTCCATTCATCTCACGGGAAACTCCACGCTCTGCTTTGGAAATCATCATTTCGGGCTCCCGCCAGCGAATCGCCTGCAACCACACAGCTCCTCACATTTTGTAATGAATCCTCACCCGTCCGCTCTGTTTCCCATTCGCTCCTTCCTCAGCAAGGCGGCGAGGGCAGAGGAATCAAAATGTGAAAACCCCTCACGCTAGGAAGCCCAGAAGTGTTCACTGCCCAACCCATCACCTTTGCCTCCCTCCACGTGGAGCAGATCCTTGGGGCAGGAAGGGGTTTTTATCATGGGCTGTCACTGTAGTCATCCACTGTGATTTCCTACCTGGAGAGAAGGGGAGGAACTGGGGACCAGGGCAAAGCAGCCACCTCAAGAGGGGCATCCCTGAAATGCCGCCCACAGCCCACGCCCCAAGAAAACCACATTTAGGAAGATTACCTCGGTGCAGCACGATGTGGTCAATCATGTTGCGTTTGTATTTGGTGTGATAGAGGCAGAGAGGACAGCGGAGATCTTTGGGGCCCTCCTCGGGAACCGCTGAATGCCCAGCTTCCACGTGCATAGTAAAAGCAGATCTGGGAGAAAGGTGGGGGGGAGACAGGTGAGGAGTGTGACAAGGGATCATGTCGCTCACACATCCCCTGCGGGCTACCTACCTAGGCTTCTGCGTGTAACTCCCCTGGCTTGAAGGCCCAAACCAGAGTCGTTCATCATGTTTCCAGACCACAAGCTCCTTGGTCACTCATCCACTACCTGGACCTTGTTGTGCAGGGCTAACTTCCTTTTTGAAAATTTCTGCCACTTGGCTGGGGTCAGGGCTTACTTTGGAAAGAAATGGACTTCCCCAAACACTTTATTCTAGAAGATGAGAAGCTGCCTATGAAAAGCAAAAAGCCAAAGTCCCTAAGAGAAAGAGGTTCTCACTGTGCATGGCCGGAGAAGGACTGGAGTCACGTGGACTTCCCAGCTGCCTACGTGACTCTGCACAGGACAGGGCGGAGACGGCAAGTTGGCTGGGACGTCATGGTGGCTAAAGATCAGCTAAACTAAACTCAAAGCAGTTGTACCAACCTGAAGGCGGAAGGCTACTGTTGCCTTCCCCTCTATCCTTTTCAAAACTTCACCATTTACAAAGCCTTTGGTGTCTCATAAAAATGGATGAAACCATGAGTCTAAGGGGTAAGGTCCCCTTCTTATTAACTCAAGTGCTTCTCTCTGGGGAAACATGTACACATGTCAGTGGACCCTTGTTATCTGGGTCTTTAGCCTTTTCTCAATTCTAAGGTCACATACATATTTATCTGAAAAACAACTGAACTGAATTAATAGTCAGAGCTGTAACACATTTCCCATAGAATCCCATCAACTAAGGTGTTGGTGGAAAAGAACCTTGTTCTTCTGATTGCTTTTTGTTGGGCATGAAGCCTGTCTTGAAGTACTAGAGTGGCCTACGGCTCAGGTACTAACTACAGTAGGAGGAGATAATAATAGCTTTACACCTGTAATATAGCCATCTAATATTATTATAATGGCTATCTATGATTTTATAATGCTTATTAGTGTTTCCTTTGCGCCAGGCACTATTCTGAGCACTTTAGATATATTGGTTCATTTATTCCTCCTATGAGTTGTATAAGTGAGGTAGTATTACTATCTTTATTTTATAGATAAGGACCAGGAGACACAGAGAAGCTTAGGGACTTGTCCAAAGTCACACTGCCAGCCTGCAGCAAAGTTGGGGTTCAAACCCAGGCAGTCAGGCTCCACATCCTGCACTCATAACCACTAAACTAAGCAGCACTGCACAGAATGAGATTAGATCAGAAGTGTCCAGAGCACATGACAGGAAGCACTCTGTTCCTTGAGCTCACTGATTCTATTATACACAGGGGCAAAGGTGGCTTTGAATTATCTGTTTCTGGATCGGAAACAATCTCTCTACAGTTGTTCAGTTCTAGTCTTCACAGCGCTGGAGTCTTGATTCTCTGGGGGTCTCTCAACAATATGATCTTAAGAAATAGGAATTTTCTGTAAGGGTAGCAGGGAAATCATAATTGCTGGATGTTCTCTCTTGGCTTTGATTTTGCTTTCAGAAACACAGATTTTTTTTCCCCTAAAGACAAATCTAAAAAAGGGAGGATAGTCCTCCACAGGAAAAAACACTCATCGCTTCATGCACTGGGCCCAAGAAATCCCTTACCACACTCTGACACTTCTTGGCTGCCCATTTGCTCTAACATTTAAACTCGTTTGTTCTGATACAGCGACTGCTTCATTCCCAAACCCCCTTCCACAAGCCCCAAAGCAGTCCTCTGGAACTAGCCTCCTTTTATGAAGACTGGACCCGATCCCTGTAAGATCCCACTGGAGCAGAGCCTTCCCCAGAAGAATGAAGGGAAGCGTGTGGTGAGGGGCAGAGCAGGCGCAGCCACCTTGTTTCTCAAGGCCGTTCTTCACACCACTTACTTAAAGCCTGTGTAAAAGGAGCAGTCTTTGCACTTGAAGAGCTTCTTCCCACCATGCTTGTCCCTGTAATGGCGTCTGATACTCTGGATGTAGCCAGAGGAGAATTCACAGAATTCGCAGTGCAGAACAGCCTCGGTTTTCTGCTCGGCACCCCCGGCGGCCCCGGAGAGAGGCACGGGGCTGACGCGGCTGTTGTTCCTCGCCAGCGCGGCGGACTGATAGTGGTTCAACTGCTGCTGAACATCTGGAGGTTCGGAGTACGAGGAGTCTGTGGACAGACGGGGAAGAGGACACCGGACACAGAGAACACAGTGGAGCTTTGACCCCTGAAAACCCCCGACATTAGTCTGCAGTGTTTTTTCTTTTCTTTCTTTCTTTTTTTTTTTTTAAAGACGATGACTACGATCCACCTTTCATCTTCATTTACATCCTACCACAACAGATCTGGGGAAAGGCAGGTAGGAAGGAAGTGTTGCTTCTTCTCGTCTGACTTTGAGGGCTCACGGCATTTAAAAATAAAACTCTGAGGTGACAGGTTTCAAAGTGAAGGAAGAAAGTCAACTGTGGTCTAAAGGAAACGGCAGTGTGGTAACGGGCTGCCACAGAGCACCCACCCGTCCCCATAGGTGAGATAAATAAACGCACAGCAAGTACACAGGCACCGCGGTGAGAAAGGAAAGTCGATGACGTCACATGTCCTCCTCTGCAGCCCAGAATTATTCAAGCCAACCTCCACCCCCCCAACCAAAAGGTCTTTAACAGAAATGCTCGAGCACATGGCACTCACAAATATAAAAATGTTTTATGCCTTCACAGTCAAGTGATTTAAAATTTAAAATATAAAGATCTAATAGTGTTCTCCTGGAATGGATGTTTAAAGCTTAGTCAGCATTAAGATGGAGATTTATTCATAAATCCCATTAAAATGAAATTCCAAATAAGTTTCCCTGAAAGGTATTTTCAAGTTTGCAATCCGGAGGAAAATGTCGGAAATGACAGCCATAAATCTTAACCCTGAGAAGCTCCAGTGGAGAAATGTGGTGGAGAAATCTGATCTAGATGGGAGGTGGGAAAAATCTTGGTTTCTTAAAAACTGAAAGAGAGGAGAGAAAGGTCTTGAACCTTTTCCCAACGCGCTGCTTTGAATGTTGAGGCTACGCTTTTGACAACATTGTCCTGTATAACCTACAGCAGCCTATGAATGACACGAATGGAGTCCTAAATACCCCTCAGATGAATTTCAGTGTAACTTTCCTTGAAAAGAAAACAAAGGGCTCTTTTTTTAAAGCCTTTCAAAAAGCAAGGGGGGGACGGGGTTAGAAACTGTACAAGCCTCCCCCTGATTTGACGGACACTTCATTTTCCAAAGCACGATTCCCCGAGGCAGGACACGGAGGAATTCTGTAAAACCCGTATTTGATGAAAACTAGTACCATCCATCCCGTTGGCCTCTTGGAGGAGAAAAACAAAAACCAGAGCAGCCTCCCTGATTGTGAGGCCGCCTCCTGTCTTCAAAATACTAAAATACCTTCCCTTCTTGTTCTCCTCCTCCCCCTCCTCAATTCATATTCCTCAAGATGGAGAAAAAACCCCTTTGGAAATTGTAAACAAACCTGCCACACACACAAAAATAAAACAAAAGGAAACTTGAACAATACCTCTGAGCCTCCACGGGTTCATTACCAGGTGTAAACTGAAGACAAAGGAAGAAAGGAATGACACAACCGAATTCATTTTACTCAAGTCTTTTATCTCTGGTTTCTTTATTCCTCAACCCTAGCTGATGAACCCACTCAGGATCACAATAATGCAATTGTCAACTTCTCATTCTTCCTTTCAATAGCAGGTTTGTTTACCACCTCATGGATTGTTCAAGATGTTTTCCATTTAAGCTCTCAATACTAGTTTCTGCTTAATACAGGCACAAGGAAGCGCAAGGTGTACTCCCCCTCTCTTGTTAACACAGGGCTGAGCCGTGGGCTGGGCACTGCTCTGCCAGCCTCCCCCGTGAGCCCCTGTCCTCCTGTTTGCTCTTTGCTCTGCAGGATTGAAATTCTGGGACCAACAAGGCCAAAGCCGGGTCCTACTGCTTGTGAGCTCTCGGCCACCTACAAATCTACCCAGAAACCAAAATGAATGTCCCAAGGAACAGTCCGTTTTTCCAAAAGCAGCTACCAGCTCCCTCCAAGACTCGATACCCAACTCAGTGAGTCCTGAAGGCTAGCATGGAGGCTGGTGGTCACCTCAGACACAGGCCCCTGACAGTTTCGATCCCTTTATTATAGAAGCATAAAGTCCATTGTTCCGACTCAAATCATAAGCCAGGTAAATTCATCTCCCCCTACCTTCCATCCACCCCAACTTCACACCTGCACTAATCTCTTAGGGAGACTCCCTCCAAGGGAAGGGAGTCTTCTTTGATTTAACACATTTGTCTTGTCTCTAGGGTCTATTGCATTTCATTCCATCCATCTCAAAAAACGAATTCTAAATTTTAACTTCGGTATATATATGTTACATGAAACTTGAAGAAACAGAAATGCAAGAAGTGGTGAGGGAAAGCATTCCAAGAAAGGGAGGCTCAGCGCCCTTCCTTCGTAAATGGCAATGCAAAAGGAACAGCCGTGTGTACCATGTTATGGATTCCTTTTTATTTTTTTCTGGTTAAAATCAGATGGACAGGTTTATTTACAAAGATAGGCAAATCCCACCACTTATGGTACATTTGTAATAATGCCCAGGTTACAACTTTTTGGGTCTTCTTAGAGCTTTACTTTCCTCTCCGGTGCCAAGACACACTATGTCTCTCATTCTCTCTCACTTGGGAGTTTGTGAATAATGTACAATTTTAGCACTTTGGGCACTAAAGTGACAAAGATGTGAGCGTGTATGATTCCACCGATCTTAAAAAAGCCCATTTGCTAAACTACATAACATTCCAACTTGTTCACGAGACACAGCCTGAGGAACAGGAAAAGGGTCGTTTTTGTGCCCAGGTTAGAAAGGCAAGCAGATTGTTAGTAGTGAAGGGACACGTCACAGAGGTTTAAAAATCATCATGAAGACTATTTTCTTCATTCTGAGCTTACAGAAAGTGAAAAAACTGTTTCCGCCAGCCAGGTTTGTGGCACTGAGATATACAGCACCGGAAGCAGAGGGAGGGAATGCAGGGGGAAACTGAACCCGAGGTGGTCACCCAGATCACATCTTTTTCAGTTAGATGGCCAGTAATCCTTACAGGGGAAACCAACAGCAGAGACCAGGCTGGTCCCTACGTTCCTAACCCAATCCTGACATACGCCTGCCATCTAAAAGCTTAATTCTCTGACCCATGACTTTATTTACATGCAAAGCTTTAGAAATTACATTATCAGGTACAGCTATAGTTGTAAGATGAATCTAAGTCATAGGTAGCTATCCATTTTATCAACAGTCTATAGGGATGCCTGGGTGGCTCAGTTGGTTAAGCAGCTGCCTTCGGCTCAGGTCATGATCCCAGGGTCCTGGGATCGAGTCCCACATCGGGCTCCTTGCTCGGCAGGGAGCCTGCTTCTCCCTCTGCCTCTGCCTGACACTCTGCCTGTCCTCCCACGTGCTTGCGCTCTCTCTCTCTAACAAATAAATAAAATCTTTGAAAAAAAATATATTTTGTAAAATCAAGATCAAACTAGAATTTTAGCATAGACGGTCATGGTGCTTACGGACGTGGGTTTATAATTTACTGAAAAGCCAGCAATTAATTCTCACAACTACAGTGTGAAGTTAGGTTCTCATCCCAATTTTACCCATGAGGTAGTTGAGGCAGTTGGTTACACAGCTAGTAAGAAGCAGAGGTTGGATTTCACCAAAGACTCATCAGACTCTAAAATCTGAGTCTTGCCCATCAGGTGTCTATACCCAATGGTGACCTGGGGTCCCGTTATACAAGTCAGAAGAATGAGAAAGAACATCTGAGTGGTCCATCAACAATAAATACATAGCAGAGAGCAGGGAGAAAAGGTGACAGAAAAATTGAAAGTCATGAAAATCATTTTAGAATAGATAGAAATGAAAATGGAACAGATAGGGGATAACAGTGAATGGGATGTGAATGGGCCTTTCAGAGCATGTCAGGGGAAAAAATAAAGCAAGGTACGTGGGAAAGAAAAAGAATATCCAAAATTTTAAGATGCTTTATAAAAATAAAAACACGGGATCACATAGGCGACAGGTCCACCAGCAGGCTGCGCAGGAGAACACAGAAGATACCCAGCATCAGAAACCCGCCGGCCCAAATGTCACACTTGCACAGATGCCTGATAACCTGCTATCAAATAATGCTGCTCTGAAATTCCTCAAGTGGGATTTGGCTGGGAAAAGAAAGGTACACGGCCGGGAGACGGGTGGCTGCTTTCCGGTGGCTCTTGGACAGGCTTCTGAACCAAGGAAAGGGCTGGGTTCCAGAGGAAACCTCCCAGCCCTCTCACTGACTCATGTTCCTGAAGAAATAGAAGACCATCTTGTTAAAGTCTATCTCCCAGAATGCCACCAAAGCCAGGGAACTATCACTTCAAGGGGCTTTTTTCTTTCTTCTCTTTTCTCTAAAAATTAGCCAGCAGAGAAACAATCATAAGAAATTTGATTTTATAAAGATGAATGACAAATACGTGAACTCTGGCAGTATAAAAAGCATGACAGAATGAAGCGTTCTGGAATATTCTGAGCCTACAAACATTTAGTTAACACCTTCTTAGTGCCAGCCTATGTGCGGGCTCTAGGGAGTCAAAGTCCAAGAAGGCACCTTCTCAGAGCTGGGCTCTAGCAGGGGGGCGAGCAGAGCTGTTGTGAGAACATAGGCCTTCTCCACGTCTGGCAAACTTACCCCACTGATGGCAAGGAGAACAAATGAAGAGTGAGTACCAGGAGAATTTAACTGTTGCAAGATTAAGGGAGACCCAAAGAAGAGTAAGAATCAGTTGGGCAGTAAATTGTGGGTGCTGCAGAGGAGAACCCCCTTATGTACTGAGTGATCCAAAAGGGAAGCTATACAGGGAGATCAATTCTCAATTTTCTGCAGCTCCAGAGAGGATGTGAGTGAAGGTACAAAAGTGGCAGAAGGATCTTGGTGCCAGCAACCACACTTAATTCTATCTGAGCTAGACTTTGGTGCAGACTTGGGGAGGCAGGCTCTTTTGGTCGGCGTGAAACAAGTACCAGGAGAAAATGAAAAGACAAAGGATCTTAGGCAAGCACATGAGGGATGCCCGGGGGGGGCAAATACTTCAATTA